AGAGGAAAATACAACAGCAGCAAGAAATTCATGGCATTCCATTTCAATAAAACGTCGCTACAGCCAAATGCAATGCCAGAGAACAGAAAACAGTAAAAGCTTATTAAATATAAAGCAATGTACAGCATGGAGAACGACCTTAGAGTGAATATGAGTGCTGTCTGAATGCTAAGGGCGAGGGGCGGGCGCACACACATGTTGCACGGCAACGTGGCTGAGAAGTTCAACAGTAATTGCCAAGAAAAATACTTTTCAATAAGCAACAGTAGCAGCAGCAGCAGCAGCAGCAACGATACAGAAAGCGAAATGAAAAGAATTTAAAAATACATAAAAACAAAAGAAGTAAAAACAATTGTAGCGAGAGGGCAACAAATAATAACACACCTGGAGATAGTTTCAAAATGTTGGAACTCTTTAAACAACCAGCTCGGTCTATCTCTCTCTCTCTCTCTCTATCTGCTCGAATCTCTGTTTAATCCCAGGAAAACTGGAATGCAGCAGCTAAACTTCCACTATTTCACAGCATTGTTGAAATTTTTTTTAATACCATTTGTTTATTTGCACAAATGCGTGAGCTTTCATTTAATTTTTCCGGCGAATTCCGTGGGGCCGTATTCAACGCTAATCAAAATGTGAGCGCTACACACACACCCACAACAATATTTGTGGCAGTATCTGGAAAAAGTAAACCAAAAGAGAAAAAAAGCGAAAAAAGCGCAGCCTGTTGCTCGCTGTCGAACATATGTCTGCAATATGCAAAAGTAATGCACAAGCTCCGGCAATGGCAAAATACTCGTAACAACCGTAAAGCAAGCCCCTCTCAGTCCAGCTACTAGGCCAGCAAGCGCCCGACCGCCCAAAAGGCCATGCCCATACTGTATACATTGTTTTACATGAATTTTGACTTTGGCGCGCCGTGCGATGCCAATACACATGTGAGTGTGTGCGTGTGTATGTATGTAAACATTGCGCAAAACCGAAAACAACAAAATTATTCATACGCCACGTTGTACCGCACGGCGAAAGACGTCAGCGCGACGGCTGATTCAGACAGGGGAAGCAACGAAATTTGACTACAAAAATGGGCAAAATACAAAACAGAAACAGCAGCAGCAGCCATATGTGTGTGTGTCTCTGTGTGTGTATGAGAGCGTGTGGCTTTTTCGGCAATTTTGCGGCATGTTTTTCACACTTTGGCGCGCAGCTAGGCAAAAAACAATTGAACACGACGGCCTGGCTGCCATGGATATCAAATTGTTGTTGTTGTTGCTGCTGCTAGTGCTACTGCCGCTGCTGATGTTGATGATGCAAGTGCAAATTTATTTGCCACTTTGAAGCGCGTCCAGCAGCAATTTCAAATATGTTTTGCTGACTGCTCATCGATTGATTTGCATTGCTTTCAAGTTTAGGTTCGCCAAAAATTTAACAGCACTTGCACTTGACACACAGCAAGGAAATTAAATTTTAGTAACTCAACAGAGCTGAGATTAATTATTATTAACTGACTGGCAGAAGACGGGTATATGCAGGCAGAAGCTCAACCACTTGAAGTATGCTAAATAAAAAAAAAAAACAGCAATAATATATAATTATTAATATATTCTTTCAATATAGCTACAAATATAATTCGAGGCTTAAAATTAATGAATTCTTGTATATCCAGAAGCGAAAACGCTAATCTAATTTTAATTTTACAAGCCCTGTTTCATGCTCTTCTCCTCAGAGTAAATATCAACATTTTGTAAACCTTCCAAGATATCTTATAATCAGAATTAGGGAAACTGCTTAACTGCTTAATGTAAAAATTCCAGTTTATTCTGCAAAGCAAAAGAACAACAGCAGCAACAACAACAACGACGACGACAACAACAACAGCAACGTAAACAACAACAAAACATTTCATCCCATTTCACTCATATCAAAATTGTCGAGCTGCCAAGCGACGTGCTGCTGGACAGGGAGCGATGCGAGTGTTTGGGGGCAATCCTAAAAATAGCAGCACCAACGACACTTACCTAAAGTGTTTAAGAGCACAAACAAACGCACGCACACACACGCAGGCACACTCACACACAAAAGAAAACAACACCTTATGCCCCACTCAACTGTAAAAATTACATTGAAAATGGCCATAAAAAAAGGCAGCAAATGCCACAAAAACAACGCGCAACGACTGCGGCCCTTTTTTTGCTTATATTTCTCATTTGGCTTTCATTAAATTTGATTTTATTGTTGTTGTTGTAGTTGTTGCTGTCGATTGTCGCACGGCAGCTAATTTTGAGCGCAGGCTGCGCGCGCTTTGCATGTAAATAAAAAAAAAATAAGCCATAAAAAAGAGAAGGAAAATTTTCCGTTTAACTTACATATAAATCCAAATACATATACATATACATATATATAGATGCATAAACATGTATGAGAGAGACACAAAACTGCAGTTAAATGCCACGCCCACACAGAGCTACCGCAACAGCAGCATCAGCATCAGCATCAGCAGCGGCGGCGGCATCGGCAAGCTAATCAAATTGTTATAGCTAAACTATATAAACTATAACAAATTGTATAAAAATCACAACAAAAAAAACGACAACGTCAGCAGCAGCAGCAAATGTGAAAGAGTGTCAAGGCTTGATAGCAATTCTATTCTATTGGCCTGGTCGACACAAAATGAGTTTTTCTTGCGGGTTATCCGACTATTTGTAAACACTGCTCATTGTTGTAAACAAGCCATTTATATGGCCTAATGTCTGTTGATCCTCAATGCCTGTTGTTGTTCGTCTTGTTATTTTTTGCTCGCTTTTTAAACTGATTAATTCGGGGTATTACAATAATTTATTTATTTTTAAATGCGTTTGATTTCACATTTTTAACGCTGTGCATGAAAAATTACAAAGCTCTCGACTGAGAGCAAATGTTATAAAGTGTTTGAAAATTAGATTTGTAAAGGTAACTAGGTGGAAAGGAGAAATTAGCTGTAGTTCGTGTAAAACAACAGCAATAAAAGAAGAGTGAAGGAATTTAATGATTATAGATGCTATGTGGCCTTCATAGACATTGATCTTAATGGCCATTGATTGTTGTTATGGATTAACATTGATAGATACTACCAAAAGGGAGACTTCCTTTGTGTACATATGGATCTTAATGCCCATTGATTGTTGCCACAGATTAGCATTGATAGATACTTCTGGAAGGAATATATCCTTTATGTACATATGAGATTTCAGATTTCTCTGTACATTTAATAGCTCTTTAAGCCAGATATGTCGTGTTGTTGTCTTAGTTTTCATGATTGCCCTCTATTGTGGCACTTGTATTAGTGTGAGGCTAAGAGCTTGCATAAAGTTGTTATTGAAGCTAGACGATTCTCATTTCTGGTTTGCATCCTCTAATTTTCACTTCGTGAGAGAGAAAGGGACAAAGCTAGGTGTTGCTGAACGTAGTAACGTGTGTCGTTGAGTGAGAGCGAGAGGACTGTTTAGGCATGCGGCCAGAGTCGTAATGATTATCAGCGTTCGAAGAGAAGCGACTAGAATTTATCATTCTGCAAAAGCTCATTGTGAAAGACAGCCATTCGAAATTATAAAAGAAGCCGATAAATTTACTTATATACATATATTATGCCTAAATAAGAAAACGTTGTCTATGCTTAAAAAGAGATGTTCTCTGCTAGAGATTAAAGATTAGAGACTAACAAGAGCACAAAATATTGAAGTTATCTTGACATTGGTGCTCTCAGCTAATAGCAATCGAATATCCGTTCCACACAGCGTTTCTTCTAGCATATATATTATATAAGTTTAACAATTAAATAAATAAATATTTCTAGTGCATTCTTATGCTACATTTTGATAAAAATATTATATAAAAATGCAAATTATATGCATTAGCCGACTAAAATGTACATTGTTGCAATCATTTCTGACAGCTCGTTAGCTGGCAGAGGGCGAGCACAGCGGGTGGGCGTAGCCTGGCAGCTGTTATTAGGTGGGCGGCCAAGCAGTCAAAGCATCGACATTGAGCGACTCACAGAAGCAACCAGAAGCCCTAGCCAAGCAGCGACTGCGGCAGAGACGGCAACAACCTGCCTCATTTGTGGCAACACTTTTCTAATTAATGCAAACAATAGAACGGCTAAAAGCTAAAGAGAAAATTAAGCTAATCTAGCTGTATTTTAGCTAAATGATAAATGCTTGAGTCACAGCGCCTATAGTTCATACGTATACGAAGTCTGGCTGGCTTTTGTTTTTTAACTATATTCCTAGACTCAAAGGTAATGTAATTAATTTTACTCATATTGTTTTGACATTTCCGGCTGTGGGAAAGCATTTTTTTAAAGAAGAAAATATATATTTTTTATAAATTTAAAATGCTTTTTTATATTTTACGGCTAATTTTTAGGCCCAAAGGCCGGCTAACGTGGCGCTGTGTGGCTGTCATGTATTTGAAAATCTTAAGTAGACACGTCAGCGGCTTTTTAGTGGCAACAGAGCAGGAAAAACAAAGTGCCCCCACCTCCACACCCTCTGCAACAATTGCGGGCATTCCTTAGCCAACAACAAGAAGAACTGAAAATTGGAAAATTAAAACAAACAAAACTAAGAGTCAAAAAGTTGGGGCCACAAAGTTAATGCCAGTCAAGACAATCAAGTGCCGACTGAGTGAGAGAGCTAGGGCTAGACCCAGTGAGAGATAGCTATATAGAGAGAGGCAGAGGGAGAGGGAATGGGAGAGTGGCAGAGAGAGACAGCTAGCGAGAGCAAGAAAATTACGCATAAATCTATCAATTGAAGCAAACGTGCAATCAAATCGAAACGCCTTCGTCTAGAGTCCGGTGCGTCTAGTGTTTGGATTTGCCTTCCAGTTAATTACCGAAGCTAATAGATACCCAGCATTTGTGATTGGGTTAGTGAACTCGTCCGGCGGCGAAAAAGCGGCGTTTATATATAACTGATAAAGATCTTATATAGAGACTAGACATATATAAATTCTAGGCATACCCTCACAATATTTGCAACATTTTGCTGGTGGCTCATCGTTGGTGGCATCGGCAATGATCGGCATGGTCCCCGGTCCCGTTGCCGGTCCACGCAGCGCTCCAATTTCCAGCTTTGGCCAACTTTGAAGCGCTTACGCTGTCCACGTCGCGGTTTGTGTGTGTGTGTGTGTTGGACTCGACGACTTCACCAACAACACAATGTCAGCTGGCACAACATTTGATATAAACACAACACTGAAACACACACACACACAGACTCACTTACAGAGCACACACACACACACACACAGCCAGAGAGAGAGGGAGATGCACACGCGACACGCGCTTGCAATGGCTTTGCTCGGAGTTTCTTTTGGAGGTGGGGGGCGGGGAGGCGTAATCTATAAACCACCTGCCGGACCAAAGCAAACGCCAGTTGCAATTTTTCAATTTATAATTTTCAATTTTTTTTCTTTCGTTTTGCAAAATCTTTTCAACACTTTCGTTTATTTTGTTTTTGGAATGTTAACAGCATAGTTTCTGCACAGTTTTACGTTCTCACAGTGCGCTGACCATTTGCTGGGCGCGCCAGTTACTTGTTGCTCATTAGCAGGATCAGATAACGATTATCAGGCGACTAGCTAGATCTTAGCTGAACCGATCTGATCTGATCTGAACTGGGTTCGCTTCGGTTTGCTACTGTCAGTGTCTGGTCTTGTCTGTTTGGGGACGTCACGCCGTGGCTATTTCTAGTCTTTGGCTTTCACATTGCGCTTTTCCGTGAAAATTGTACGAGACGTTCAAACGTGAAACCTCCGCAGAGACCACTGAGCAGTCAGCCGCACACGACACGGCGGCCAGGCAGCCAGGCCAGGCCAAGGCGTGCAACGGATCGCCAGAGAATTCGAATTTACAGATTCTCTCGCTCTCACTCTCTCTCTTCGAAAAATGTCGAAAAAGCCGACGAAAATTCTCAGTCGAACATCGTCAGCAACTGTTAGATAATTTAGCGTCGGCACGGCCAAAAAGTTTTTCACCATTTTCCTCAATGAAACAATGAACTTTCACATTTCGAACAGGCGCAGCAACAACAACCGTTGCTGCCTTCGGCGTTCGCTCTCAGTATTTCGAAAAATCTTTTCGAAAATAGCATAAGGCACAGAGATCAAGAGAAACAGCGCCAGAGCGAGCGCGCGCTCATAGAACAACTCATTTTCGAAAAGTTTTCAAAAGTTTTTCTATTTTCTACGCTCTGCATTCTCGTTTGTGCACCCTACACATTGAGTTCGAGGCAAAGCATGCTGGATCCTGCACGCGTTTCGTACGCAAAGTGGGTTTCTGGGTCAAGGCGTGAGCAATTAGCGGATTTTGATTTTTGCGGTAAATTGTTTTGGGGAATACAGGAGGCGGCTGTCATTTGAAACCTTGCAATTACTTTGCTTTCGGCTGCATTGACGCAAGTTCCGCCAAGGCAATGCCTCAAATTTATAATTGGGAAACATATCTTTGAGCTTTGCTAGCTTTAGCTTTCTTTAGGCAACACTGGCAGCATATCTTCAAGGCTTTCCAACACCGGCTAAGGCCTTAATGTTTCGTTGAGGCATATTAAAATAAATAAGCATTATAATTTAATGAAATGAACGCGCACAACTTAACAGAGCTCTGTTACTGAACGAAATGCGAAACAGTTTGAAGATTTATAATAGTATGTATTAATTATTTGGCACTGGGCCAACAAATCTTAACTACACACGGCTAAACAACAGCAGCAACAACGACAACGACAACAAGAGATGCTGCGAAAAAATCCTTGCTAAGCAACAACAAACGACCTTGAAAATAACAAAAAGAAAGAAATAAATAATTAAAATAAAATTAAAAAGAAAAAACATTTAAGTTTTCAACAACTTTCGCCTCGAACTTAGCATAAAAATTCGCACAAAAAAAAATTGGCAAACGCCAATTAGGAATATTGAAAATAGCAATTTCTATGATTTGTAGCGATCTGTGTGTGCTTCGGGTTCGAAATTGTGCTTTGTGTGTGGTGAGAAACACCTGCATGACTAATCCCAGCCCCCACACCTGTTTTACCTCTGGGCGAAGTAAATGGCATATTTAAATTTAGCTGCTAGCCAAATAATTCATTTAAATTTAGCATAAAATATGATTTCTATACGAATCATTCTATGGCAATAAAATATGTGGAATATATGTATACTTATATATATAAACTAGTGTATATATAGGTCTATATATATAAAATAGATTTCGAGCGCAGTGTTGGCAAAAATAAATCGCAATCAACCGAATTTCCCGCCCCGCACTCAGAAAAATAGCAACTAAAAATAAGAAAATTGACTCAGCTTTGGCTTTTATTGTTGTTGCTATTGTTGTTATTGCAGTTGTTGTTGCTGTTGTTGTAGCTGTTGCCATTTAGCGACAACATTTTCTGTGCACAAGAGAAGAAGCAAATAATATTTGAAATAATTTCTCAAATTTATTGCCAAATTGGGCACAAGTCAAAAGACGAACGTCAACAACTGGGGCTTATGTCTGCCCACGCCCACAGCCCAGCATCGTCTAATAGAAGTGGGCGTGTGCATAGACTTAAGGCCAATTACTCATAATGCACATTTAGCCAAGCGAGCAGAAAGTGTACCCAACTATTCGGCCAACGATATTTCTGTCATATAAACAATGTGCACATTTTTCATAGGAAAATTGCAATTTCCACACATTCTGCTCCATGCCCCAATGTCAGGGACGAAATAGAATAGCAAACAAAAGCAAAAGCAAAAACAAAAACAATAAGCTAAGGGAATTTATTGCACAATTTTCCTCTGTCCGTGTGCGTGTGCGAAAATTTATTGTGCACATGTTTCAAAACATAAAAATATATGCGAAATGACAATTTTGCAACCAAAATAATTATTGTTGTTTTTTGAGAGCGCATTGAAATTGACTAACGCAGGGCATATTGATTATGTTCCAAGTTATGTAAAAGCCTGACCGAAGGTGTGTCGGAAGTAAATTTATATAAATGTAGAATATATTACCAGCTCAATTGGAATATAGATAGAGATAGAGATATTGATATAGATATAGCTATTAATATAGATATAGATATAGATATAAATATGGCTATATATATAGATATAGATATACCTATTGATATAGATATAGATGTCGAGTACTCCACTTTTTGAGTACATCACCCATTAAATATTAATTAATCATGCCTAGTAAATATATATTTAAAAGTGCATAAGTTTAGGGTAGTTGCTAGTCGAGCATTGCCGCCTAGAGCACTCTTACTCGCTTTGTTTGCTGCTGTCAAGCACCTCGCTCAGGGTCAAGCAAAAATTTGCAAATAGTTTTATCATTTCTGCTGCTTCTTCCTTTTGTTTTTGGCTTATGAATTATGAGTGGGCCGACGAAGTTTATGACCCACTGTGCACGCAGCTACGGCAATTCGTTTTACCAAATGTCTTATTCGATTGCAGGCAAAGGAGCAGAAGCAGCAGCCGCAGCAGCAGCAACAGCAGCAACAATTTTTCTATTTATTTATTTGCCTTTCAATTTTCTCTCGCATATAAATTATAAAGCGGGTAGCATAAAAAATATACAAAAAAGAAGAGAAAAATTATATATAAAATAGAAGAAATGATCGGCCAGCGAAGCTAAAATCGAGCGCGTCAGCATTTTCTTTTTTTTTTTGTTGCTTTTGGCGTGGGCGAAGAAAATTGAAAAACATTTTTCACCATGCGAAAGTTTTCTCGTCTTTTTGACGTCGTTTATAATGACGAAACGGCGAGCATTTAGTTTAGAAAAGCCATAAACAAACAGTAAATGCCAGTGCAAAGCAGAGAATTTTTTTTTTAAATTTTTAGCTTAGATCAAGAGGAGAGATTTGCCAAACATTTAAAAATAAACTTGCAGTTAACCAAAAGTATTTCAATATATTTATATTTACTTTCGATTCAGTTAATTTATTAAATCTTAGGATGCGTTGCCTGATTTCTGAGAACATAAAAGTCGATAAAAGGAAACGTCTTTACAATAAACTTTAGTTCTTGATCAAGATTGATCGAATTCGTATTGTCTATGATGTCTTCTATTTCTTTCTATGCAAGCTTGTAGCAAATCTATTAAGCTAGCCTGGATGAAACTGCATCTTAGATCCATCTCTCCTTTCTCTGTTGATAGGCAGCATAGTTTATATTTGGAAATTCTTTTTTATTTGGAAAATTTAAGAATAATTGTGGAAAGTATAAGAAAAAATATTATAAACTATAATTGACCATGAAATTCCACAATTGTTAATGTTTCTTGAAGGCTGAAATACTTCCAGAAGTGCCAAATTTCTGCAATTTCATGGCCAGAATTGAATTCTTATTTATTTTCTAATAAACAATTAAAAAATGAGTTATTCTTCAGCAGCTATTGGCATTTTTACTATTCAGAATCGTGATCTATAAGCCATCCCTTGCTGCATGCATTATTCCCGTTCTTACAAGTTAATTCTGCATTTGGCTGATGGGCTCATTCCAAGCAAATCTAAACGCAGCCAACAGAAACCAGAAAATGTCTAGCCTTTAGATAGGTTAAGAAGAAGACGAAGAAAGCAAGCTACCTTTCAACAACGATGAACAATCAAACTGGATGACAGTTCTCAAACGTTGGAAATTTTGACGGAAAATTTCGACTGCTGCTGCGGCTGCTGCTGCTGCGATTTCATAATCTGCGATAATTTATGTGATTACTTAAATGAGCAATGTTAGGCGAAGCAAAGAAACGAAATAAAACTATGCCAAGAACAACTAATTGGTGCACACAGACAGAGAAAAAAGTAGAAAAGTATCGAAAAAGAAATATGAAGGCATGGCACAGTGCGAGCCGAAAGTATGTGTACGATTGTGTGGGTGTAACAGCTGCAACAGGTGCCAACGTCTGTGGTACGCCAACTTTCCGCTGCCACTGTGCGCTCTAACAACGCGACAACACGCCACAAATAACATTAACAAAAACACGACAACAACTCATTAATTGTGACCAATAAAACTAGCAATTTGAGCCAAAGCTGTGAAAATTATTTATTGCAAAGAATTATATTTCAGAATTTTATGTTTAAAATTTGAAGCAAATCGATAAGCCTTTATAGCACCTTCGATAACTAAGCTTAGTCTAGAGCTGAGCTTAAAGATTCAAGATTGACAACGTCGCGTCGATAAATTTGGCGTTCTATAGCTAACCTAATCATTTCAA